ATAACTGACGCATGTTTGTCCTCTCCAGTGCAGTGTCGAAAGTTGTAGGATACTGTTAATATCAAGCTAAATACACATTGCTGAAATATAACCTGACTAGTTTGTAAATAGCTACATGCGGGCGCAAAGATTGAATTGAAAGTCTTTGATTGGGAGCGAAAAATTTGTGCTCGTCCTAAGCTAATTGTGTTTACATTCAGTCGGCCCGTATGTCGTGTATCATATTACACTTCTACACCATTTTCAAACATCGCCTTCAAAAAGCGCGCATTTTTAGTCTTATATCGAATCAGTAATATTGCCTGGTGAAAAATAATAAAACCCAGTAGCATCTAAGGCTTAGTTGGTTTAGAACTTCAAATGAAATTCAAGACAAAACATTTTTGATAGTATAGACTGAAGATGTACAGTTAGATGTTGAACAAGACTTTTCTAATTTTTTTTTTGTTACAAGTATGCAGTTAAAAACGATACCCACAAATATATTTTACCCAAATCATTTTCCAAGTCAGTCCTGTATACAATATTTAATATCTTCCGACGAAGTAAATTGAGTAGTTTATATGCATTTCCATGTACCAGTTTCATGTAGAACTTGACATTGAGTTGTCAAAATAAAAATGAATACATAATTTTTCGGCTTTTTAAGACTAAAGGCATTACATATCAAGCAGGATTGTATGTCTGTCATAGTTTCTTTCACTTTAGATTGATCATATATCAGGTGATATTGATTTTGTTCCTTTTTACAGTTATTCTGGAGTCTTGCAGTCCATACATATACATCCAATAATAGATATGTTGGAAAATCATAAATCACCTAGCTAACATGTTGTCTTGTGTAACAAACATTGGTTGGTTTTTTCATGAATTCTGTGTGGTTCAGTTTTTTGTTGGCATTAATTTTATGCTTCTTCATTATTTTGTCTGAATATTTGAGATCAGTTTAATGTGTTCGCCAGTTGGATGTATTTAGAGAATTGAGTCCTGCGGTGTTTATGCATGCAAACTTCATCGTTATAGGCTAAAGTATGTTTACAGCATGTTTTATTATTAACGTTTAAAGTTCATTCTTAATTTTAAGACTGTGTCCAGTTAATTAACTCTTTAAAGTCATAGGTGCGAATATGAGGTGTGAAGCTATTGATAGAAACTGAATGAGGAAAATCTTGCTACAATCCAAACAGCAATAATAATTATTACTATTGTATTTTTAGGGTGCAGTATTACTCTGCAATGCCCTCAACATCCCCTGGTGTTATTTTGTTTTGGGCTGTAATAAATTATTGATCTGAGTTCCATCCCTTTTAATTATTTGTGTTTTTCACAAACTTTCTTTTCAATGCAACATGTATATATGTACATGTAGGAAAGTCTATGAAAGTTTGTTTGGCGCAGTTTTCATTTCAGCTGCAGTAGCAGTCTAGTTTGCAAAATTTGCATAACAGTAGTTGGGTGTCTGCTATTGTGAATGCTGATATTTGGGATCTTGCTGTAAGATCTTTCCACAATTCTGAGAGCATCAGCAAGTCACATTTACTATTTATTTATCTTGAGAATGTTGCAAACCAGAGACTTCTTCAATCTGCAATTTGTAAACTTTTAAGTATTCTCTCTAGCTAATCATACATACATGAATATTGCACCAGAAGTCGTGCATGTAGTTTTAATAACAAACTGTAACTTTTATCTCAAAATAGTGTTTCTTAAAGCAAGCCAAAGACTTCTCTGAGTTCTTTTTCAAATTTTAGAGAGTCTGGACACATTAATTTCTTAATATTGACCAGGTTCAGATAGTGAAGAAAAGAGTTTTGTTTTTCTCTCCTTTTACAAACATATTTTTCCTCTTTGAGCAATTCTAGCCTTTTATTGAAAGTCCTGAGTGTATGTCTGGTACGGATGCATGCACAATCAGTTTCCATTGGAAAGGTTGATTAAAATTTGAAGGAGCTTTTTGGTTAGATTTGAAGCTAGAAACTACATGCAGTAACTGGCACGGAAATTAAGCCAAGGCTGAATCAGTTTGTTTTTAACCAATCCACAAAGAGGCTGGAATGCCCTTCTTTTTGAGCAGCATTTAATATATTTGGCTTGGCTTTGTTACAGGTTGGTAGTGCTCTTGTGGAATCTAACCTCAATGATGACCTGGATTACGATCCCCAAGTAGCTATCAGTTGTGATAAAGTGACACGGCATGTCGATGTCAACACTGGAGACTGGATTGCAGACAAAAATTCCACCAGGCTTTGTACTACTGACAAGACTAAAATCTTGGAGTAAGAACTGTGGATTTGACATCATCATCATCATCATCATCATCATCATCATTATTATTGCTATTTTTATTATTGTTTATTTATTTATTTATTTATTTATTTTTTTGAGGAATTAAGTGGCATGTTTGAGTGAAATTGGAAATGGATTTGATTTCAAAATTCTCTTTTTTAATAGGTACTGTAAAGCTATCTACCCTTCAAAGGATGTCAGGAATGTTGTTGAAGCCAACAATCGCGTTTTGGTGGACAATAGTTTGGTTACTCCATATCGCTGTCTTGGTGAGTTGCTTACAGGCAAATTGTTCAACCAAATTTGCAAAATGCTTGGCCTTTCAAATGACAATGTGTGTCATTGATTGATGTTGTACTATGCTTTTTCACCAGTGGGCAATTTTGAGTCTGATGCCTTGTTGGTGCCTCCAAGATGTCGCTTTGAGCACATGCATTTCAACACTGATTGCCAAACTCACGACCAGTGGCGTGAACGAGCCTCAAAGAAGTGTAACAATGAGGGCATGGTCGTGAAGGACTATGGTGTCCTAATTCCATGTGGTGTGGGAACATTCACTGGCGTGGAGTTTGTTTGCTGCCCTAATGATGCCAGTGAGAATGCCACTGATGCTGTCAAGATTGTCCCTGTTTCAGAAGCTGCAAGTACTTCTGAACCAATGAGTGTCTTAGAGCACTTGAAGGTGGAGATTAGCAAGTTTGCAAAGCATGTGGAAGGAAGTTCTGTTGGTATGTTTCTTTTATTGTTTTAGAGCTTGTTCAAGGATGAATAACATGTTTTGTTCTAGACTGCTGCAATAAATACTCTGCAGGACTGATAAATAAATTTTTTCACTAGATACTGTAGTTCTGTAACTTGCATGGCAAGCTTTCAAACACATACAGCAGGTTTACAGGTAGTTATCGTTAATTTTAACCTTTATGGCAGGTATGTATAATCTAGGACAGGTTTCAACATTGTGCAACAGAGCTGGTTAGTGACATGTCAGATTCTACTAGCCAAAATGAAGTAACCACAGGTCATATCTTATAATCTCAAGACATGACTTGTGGAAAATCTGGCAGTTGTTTTATTTTAAATGTCTCGCTACAGCTAACAAGTTCTTGATTTATAACTTCTTTCTGTCATAAGAGAGGTTAAACTGAATTAATTTTGATTTTGAGTCATAGACTTTTGTATTTTCCAGTTTGTTCAACTTTTAGATAATTTTTGATGATGCAAATGAGAGCTTCATGAAAATGTGTGCTGAGCCTGATTTTCATCAAGTATCATAAAATTGTATTGCTATTTTTCGCAAGCCAAAGAGGCTGGTCGAAATACAAAATGTACACGTACAAGCCAAATCTGATATTTACAACTATTACATCTACTGTTAGTCTTGATCACCGTGGCATGCACAATGTACATGCTGGTCACAGTTTGACTTGAGAGTTCTTTCATTTATTAATGTCTTGTTGACTTCTGTAGGCTGTGACAGAAAGAAGTATCATGATCTCCGTGACAAACTGGAGAACACTCATCGTGGGAAAGTTAAGACACTGATTGAACACTGGGAGCAGGCTGAGAAGCGCTACAAGCTGCTGAAAGCTAGTGATGAAGATCAGGCAGCTAGTTCAATATCTGGTGAGCTTTTCTTTCTTGCTATCTTAATTTGTTTTCATCCTTGTTTTTGTTTTATGTTTTAGAAAAAGTCATTTCTTTTCTTGCAGTGTGGTTTACAAGTCCCTTAATAGTTGTTAATTGCTATTAGAGATTTAATGATAAGTACTGTGACTTGAGTTCGCATTGTAATGCTGTAATATTGACAAGCACACTAAGTTGAGAATAAAGAAAATCCTCAACCTGTGCTCCTCCCTAAAGACATCTTGATGGGTAGGCAACACGCATCAGAAATTACATTTGCAGTGTTTGCATGGGAATCCAATAGCAAAAAAAGTTTCATAAAAATCTAATTCTGAATAATTTATGAATAGCAAAGTTAAGACACTAGGCTCCGCAGTTGAACCTCCCATAATGGGACACCCTTACTCTATTTCTCTTATTGTTTACTTGCAGAAGAACTTGAGAACTTCAAGAAGTCACTGAACACATATGATGAGCAGGCCAAGCTGGAACGTGCCCGACTGAAAGAGGAACATCATCAGTGTATGCAGATTGACCTGAATGACAAGAAGAATCAAGCATTGCGTGACTTTGTTGTTGCCCTGCAGGAGGTGCCCAGAGATGGTAACAAGATTCTGGAAGCAGAGCAGCGCTTTGTAAGAACATGCACTCAGGATCGCTTGCATAAGTAAGTTGGTGATTACACATAAAAAGATATTCATTGAAGACGATTTGTCATTGTGGCATTGTAAGTACATTTACTTTCTCTGTTTGAATGAGTGTCATAAATAAGATACAGCAGTCAGACTGGTAATATGCCTTGTGAAAAGAAAATAAAAGATGTTTATAACTTGGGCACTTAATAAGAATTAAATTTACCACTGAAAGAGCCTCCTGGCTCTTGAGATGCAAAGGGTGAAATTCACTGAAAAAAAAAACTATATACATATATTTCTAAAAAACTGGAGAAGAACACAGGCAATTTTTCCTATTTAGGGTAGACAAGGAATCTTTTTTTTTTTGTGCAAGCAGTTGAGAGGCCAGGCAATCTTAATATTCTGTGTCCAGCTTCGTGTAGTTAGATCAGGTCTTCAGACAATTTGTTGTCACAAAGAGTGGTGGTACATGTACATTTAAACAAGGGTAACACTAATTGATTACATGAAACAAAGTCTTTGTAAATAATTCCATTACATGGTTACAAATACACTAGAATAAAAACACAACAATTTTACTGTGTACCAGCAAGTTAATTTTTTTGCACCCAGGGTACATCATGTTGTTAATTATACATGTGTAGATCGACAGTTCCTGTTCGAGATTCTTACACTTAATTTCTTGTTTCACAAGCTCAGTAATTTATTTGGAATCGTTTGTACTAAGTGATGACTGTTGTGACATTTCAGCTTACGCTACTTTGAGTACATGCAGAAGCACCACCCAGAGAAGGCCGAAGAATCAAGAGAGGCCCTGCAAAACCACCTCAAGAACATCAATAACCTGGTCAATGAGTCTATGATTCTGCTGTACAAACTTCCCGAGATCGCTCGTCAATTCCAGATTGATTTACCTGACTGGATTCCAAAACCACCTGCCTTGGTAAATAATGAAATTCAGTACAGCTCATTAATTATATATTAGATAATATTTTCAGATGTCTTATTAAAGAGTTTTTCATAGGGCATCACCGCATGTATGTTTCTAAGACCCAACGGGACTCGTTGAGAATGAGAAACCGTTTCTGCAAACATTATCTTTAAAACCACAAATAAGGGATTTGTTATTTCGACTACTCTTTTTTCCCGTTACTGTATCATAGGATCTGCTTCCTCAAAATTTGGTGTATTTTCCTAGTGCAGCGTAACTGATGTCATAAAGTTTTATTCTAAATCATTGTTTTAATGTCTCTCCATTCGGATATTAAGTTGCTACAATGTAATTTAGAAAACAGTCCTAAGAAAATACGTGCTGATTGGTTAAAAATCGTGTTTCTATAACTCGATGGAAACACAGAACTAGCACGAGCTGCTGACGTAATGATGGCATGAGCAAAGAGAATGTACACTTTGATAATCAAAGCTAACAAATTGTTTTCCTTTTTTTCGTCGCGGTATTTTCTAAAAGAAATAGAAAACATGTTCTCTGTGTTTCTATCGAGTTATAGAAACACTCGAGAAAGTTTGGGAAAACTCGAAAAAGCCGTGGAAACACTCGCCTGCGGCTCGTGTTCCCTCGGCATTTCTCGTTCTCCCAAACTTCCACTCGTGTTTCTGTAACTCGATAGAAACACGGCACTTGTTTTCTATTTCTTAAATTGCACAACAGTTTGCATGTTATTCTTAATCAATATTTATAATCATGGTTATCTGACCCCACAGATTGTTAAATAGCAAATACGTGTAAGATAAATCTTGACGTAAAACAGACATCAAAATGGCAGCTCTTGTGGGACATTGTACACAAAGTATGAAGCACTAAAATATCAAGACAGCTGGATGTATCCCTCAGTCCTTAAGTGTAGCTACATGTACATGTAAATGTACGCAGGTATTTTGTGTTCGCATTTCATGAAAGGGGGATTGTGGGGATAACCCACTGCTTATACTATGCGCCTAAATGTATGCTTATTCTCATTATTTTGTTCATGAACAGCCAACAGAGGCACCAACAGTGGAGAAAAGCTCAGCTGCGAAGGACCCTACAGACCCACCAAGTCAACCAGAAGATAATACAGGTGCAACAGGTTTACCCTCTGCAGATGACAAGGAGGAGGAAGACCTGAAACCTTCAGGTGAGTTCATGGCGGTAATTCTAAAATTCATAAGCAGGCCTGCTGTTAGTAACCAGCAGCCAGTTACTATGTGAGAGTCATGAAGGGTAAATCTTGGAATTCATTTGCGGATTTATGAGACTTAAAATGGCATATCCCAGTCTCCAAAACCCGCTTACAATATATCTTGGTAAAGATTAATTAAGTCAAGCAGGTCATTCTGGATTACGCATTTAAATGACTCTCATCCGCGGCGGAAACGGCGGGAAAATATTTTCCTCTCCCGCTTTAACTTTCTCTAGCCCCCACTAACTGTCCTTGGGTCTCCGAGGATGGAGGATACTTTACACTTGACCTGGTCTTAAAAATGTAATAAAAATGGTTAGGAAAACACCGATCCAAATGATGACAGCGACTGCAGAGAATGGATGGATGGTCACAGTGGACATGCCTAACCCTTCTGCTCGCAGAGCTTTAACAAAAAGGTGAACAAAATTGTTTTGGTGATCTGTCTTGTTCTGGCTTTACTGCAGGTGCATTTGCTGCTAGGAAGATGGACGATGATGATGATCCTGAAGACGTGTCTGAGAACGAGGAAGCGGTGTTCAGGAAGTCCCACTCACGGGCCACTTTCTCTGCCGTCATTGGACTCAGCTGCGGGGCCCTTGTCATCATGATCATCATTGTGGTTGCCATGGCCATGCGCCGGCCGCGCCCTAACAACAACACCAAGACGGTGCTTGTCGACACGGACACCGAGGGTGCATCAGAAAAGAGCCACCTTGTCAACATGCAGGAGAATGGCTATGAGAATCCCACTTACAAGTTTTACGATTACTGAACATAACTGGCTACCAGTTGCGCTTACTAGAAGGAATTTGCGAAATTCTCGTAGCTGGTGTTAGACTTGTTTTCATTAACATCTTTGATAAGTGATGACCGATTTTTGACTTGACTGCGTTCGAGATTCACTGATTGTATTTATATATGATGTATTTTGGTAGATGATGTAGCAGGGCCTTTCAGAGCACGAGTGAAGGGTATTTAGTACTTACAAGGCGAAGTAACTTTTTATAACCATAATCTTTCTCCAGTGCTATTTCACGATAGGGTTTCGTTTTAAAAGCAAAGAGCTACTTGACTTCCAGGCAATAATGGACTCGTCTTTTCTTATCGGCGCGTTAAACTTGTTCCCGTGGTTTCCACGTTGACTGGCATCTGCACCTGTACTACAATTATTAAATACGATTCACTTTGCCAAGGTTAGATTGCGCGTCCAGCTTTTCTCCATGTTCCGCATAGAAGTCAGCTACACAAAGTCGTTCTTTGCAATTTGATGAATGAAACCCTCTCATGTTAATGTCTGGTTGCAGATTTTATAGCTGTAGTCTGGGGTGTAAAGAAAATAGATGTAGCAATATTTAAACCCAGTGCTTTCTTTGAAAACGTAACCGCAGTATTTATTGGGCAGAAAGCCGTGAGAAAATTCGTAAGTTATCTTTCATCCCGTCAACGGCTGCGGCGCCAGCTTTCTGTGTAGTGTGTAGGCCCCATTTACAGCCGCGTGGCGAAAGTGACCCGCGTTAGGAACGCGTTTCGAACGCGGAGTAGTGAAAATCAAGCCCCCGAGCCAGCTCCAACGGCTAGCCGTAGTATGGTGTCTGCGTAAAGAGGGAGATGAGTACCTATAGAAGAACGATAGAGACCTATCTGAGAGGTGCCTTGTTTATCGAAGAGAGAGTTGTTGACTCGCCAATGTGCGCATAAACGAGATCGACGCTGTCGGATTTACTGTATTCTACAGTCGACATCGGCACTCGTATCATCAGCATAAACAACATCAAGAGCAGCAACAACAACAACAACAGCAACAGCATCAAGTGCATGAACATTGACAACAACAGCAGCAGCATCGTCAACTTCAACAAACTATAACAACAGCAGCAGAAACAACGGCACGAGTAAAACAACATCAAAATCATTACCCGTAGAAGCAGCATCATGATCAGCGACAAAAAACCAATGACAGCAGCAGTATCAACAACAGCAACAACAAGAGCAGAAACGACAGCACGACTTAGAACATCAAAATCATTACCCGTAGAAGCAGCAGCATGATCAGCCACTAAAACCAACAACAGCAGCAACAACAACAACAACAACAACAGGAGCGGAAACGTATTATCATCAGTCATCATCATCAACAGCCGCCGCCGCCGCAGCAGCAGAAGCAGTAGCAGCAGCAGTAACACCACCACCACCACCACCAACAACAACAAACAGCAGCAGCAGCGTCAGCTACAAAAAAAAAAACAGCTAGTAGTCTCGTCTCTTCGTGTTATGCTAATAGCAGATACTACAACTGTAAGCACCTTTGATTGTTTTTCGACCTTTTAAATACTTACAATAAATCATTAACTTCTATAAGCATAAAAATTAATACTTGTAAAATTGTGCAGCGTGCTGTACTCCAAGAAACAAACGTTCCAAGGGGCCTTGAAAGTTGTAAAGCACAGGGATTTGGCTAATAAAGATTGCATTTTAGTACCTTAATTTTGTGTGGACGGGTCTCCATCGAAACGAAATCTGTTTTTTTTTTTTTTTGGATAAACGGTTCGTTCCCTGAGCTGCTCGATTACAGCTACTTCAGAAGGCCTCGTTCGATATATCTGTATTCTAACGTTGCTGAGGCTTTCAGGACAAAACTGCAATTCGTTCAAGTTTCCTTTGTCTCTAAGGAGGGGTGACCCCGGGCTGAAATTCGTCATGTTATCAGCTACGAGTGGAAAATGTAATGTATCCTTGCTAACACTTCGCGTGCAAAAATACAAATTTGTAGATTTTGCATACACCGATGTTCAAAAATTCCAGTAATACCTATCGGTCTTGTGGCGTACGTTTTACGGCTTTCATCACACAACGTAACTTGAAGTAACTGTATACCGGACGGTAGGTCAACGCACGAAGCCAGAGAGAAAAGACAATCCA